CGGCGCGGGGGCGGCCTTGCGGCCCCGGAGGCCGGATAGCGCCTCCGCTTGCCGGAAAAGGGAGCCAGAAGCAGGCTGGCGAGGCGGGGGAGGGGGATACGGATCCCCTTCATGTGGACGCAGTCCTCCTTCCCCCACCAACACCAGGGGCCCAGCACCTCTGGCAAGTCCTGGCTGTCCACTGAGGAAGGGCGGGAGGACCGGCTCCAGCCTCGGAGGGTCCGAGCAGATCCCAAAGAGGATAGAGAGAGGCCCCGAGGAAGTTCGATCCACTCCACAGCCCACGCGGGGTCCGAGGCCACTGAGGGGAGGGGAAAGGCTGTTCAGCTGGACCTCCACTTCCGCCAAGATCCCCATTTTCATCCAGTGTTTCCACATAATTTCTCCTCAGCCCTCCCCCACCTTCCAAAATATCGGTAACCATTGGGTGTGCCCCTCAACTCTAAGAGCCCCTATCCCACAACCCAGACCCCTGGGCTCCTGGGGCCGTCTCGTAGCAGTCCACTGGCCCCCTTCCTGCTCTGAGTGTATTTTGCCATCTTAACCCAAACGCTGATAAATTCTGAATCTTCTTCCAGTTTCCCAGCCTGCCGGTTCCTCTTGGCGAGCACACTGAGTTCCTTCCCCATCGCTGTCCTCTCCACCACTGCCCCGGCCCCTCTGCAGGCTTGCTGCCTTCCTTCTATCCTCTTGCTGTTGGGTTCTTTCCTCTTGCCAGCCTCAGCTGGTGCACAGCACTTCTATCTTCTGACAAACCTATGATTTCTTTCTTCTGATTTCCTCCTGTTTCCTGAAGCCTTTTCCTGATGCCCTCTCTGGCCCCAGCCTGATTCCCCAGATGTAAGCCAGAGTAATTTTCCTTTTGCCACTCGAGCACCCTCCTGCTCAGTTTCCCATCACCTCCCCGATCACATCTACAGTCCCTGGTCTCACCTCTGCGACTTGTCTGACAAGTCCATCGTCCTCCAGGCCCTTCACGCTGCCACAGAAACATTTTGCCCAGCACAGAAATCATAGGCATGCTGGCTGTGTTGATGCGGAGAACCAAAAGCCCAGAACCACTCCAGGCTCAGCTCCCAGTTCTATTCCTGTTTTGGCTCCGGATGCTGAGCCAGTCCCCTCCCCATTTGGAACCTGTGCCTAGACACATAAGGAGAACACTCCTGCCTCACAGCTTGGAGGAGGTGGGAGTGCCAGGGCCCAGCCAAGCTCTCTGGGGCTCCAGGAGCTGAGGCCCATCCCCCCAACAGTGCCAACAGGCAACGCACATCACAACTGACCTTTAGCTGGAGCAGCTGTCTCTGTCCCTGGGCCTCAGCCAGCTGGTGGTCCCCAGCAATGCTACCAACCAGAAGGAAGACAGGAAGTTACAGGCCATCCCTGGCCCCCAGCCGGTACCTAATTAGGGCTCTCCAGACCAGTCCTGAGGTCAGCCAAACTCCCCCAACTAGACTATAGGAGATGACTTCCTGATCTTCAAGCCTTAGCAGGGCCAGAGGGAGCAGGGCAGCCTGCTGCTTCACAGCTTCAAAAGCCATGAGGTTAATTTAGGACTACAAATCCCAGAATTCCTCAAGGGAAGTACAAATCTCAGCCAGTCTTAGCCTCAAAGAACATCAAGTACCAACCACACCAAGGCCTGTGTGACTGACCACTTGTCATGAAGGCTCAGGACCCATTGCAAACCCAGCCCTCAACATCCCAGTCCCTGTCTGGACTTAGGATTGGAGAAATCCATGGCACTGAAGGAAAATTGGCTGGCAGACTTCAGACGCCTGGAACTAAGGCCAGGCCCCAGCGTGCATCACCATGCACCACCATGCAGGAAACCAGGACCCAAGCAGGGTTCAGCAATTGTAGTCAGGGAGCCCTGATGGCCTCCCTCTGGGTTCCTCTTTTCCTCCATAGAGTAGGATGATTTGGTTTTGGTTGTGTGGGGGTGGGTGAAAGAAATTAAAACAGTTTTAATAGGTGTTATCAGGTGATCAGGTGCTCACAGGTACCCCAGATGGGGCTCAGTCTCCTCCCACCAGCAGACACTGAAATGGGAAGTGTTAGGCAAAAATTCTGTGATAGGGTGCTTGGTCAGCGTTCAAATGCTACCTCCTTAAGAGATAGAGACACAGCTGGGAGAGGCAGGCTCCCAGCACAGGGCCACTCCCAGGACAGTGAAGGGAGAGGTGTAGGCAGAGGAGTGAGAATGTGTGGGCGTGCAAGGCCAGTCGCCAAGGGCTGGAGAAGCGGGGGCAGCGGGCTGACTAGCTCCTCCCAAGGCTTGCCCCTCCGGCCACCCTCAGCAGTGGGAACACAGGCGGACGGCAGGGAGAGCACGCGTCTGCCCCGCAAAACCCAGAAGCACGCAGGCCAAGAGAGCGAACCAGAGTCGGTTTAGCCCCTTCCCCCGCTCATCCCGTTCCCTCCTGTTGCCGGGCCCGCCTCCCGGGTGCAGGCTCCTCCCTCTCCCGACACCAGCCCCCTCCTCAAAGGCCCCC